CACGGCCCGCGGTGGGGCCCACAGGGCGCGGGATGGAGCGCGGAGCGGCGGAGGAGGTTCGGGAACGGCGGCGAGGGGGCGGCGAGGGCGGCGGGGTGGCGGAAGAGCCGCGGGGGTTCCGCCTTCCGCCCCTCTCCCTTCTCCGCCTGCGCCATCCGCTTGAAGGCGCGGCGGTGGGGATGGGGGGGTGGAGGGGGGGCGTGGCTTAAAGGGGGCGTGGCTTAAGGGGGCGTGGTCCTGGTGGGTGTGGCCAATGGGAGGGCGAGGTTTTGGGGGTGGGGCTTGGGGGGCCACACCCTTCCGGTGACCCCCCCCCCCCCATGTGTCCCTTGCCCCCTTAACGCCATCCCATAATACCACCCTCATAATTAAGGGCTGCATAATTAATTAGGGGACCCTAATTCCTCACCCGAACCCCCTCATGGACCCCCGCCATGTCCCCCCGTCACCCTTCTGGTGACCCCCTCCATGTGTCCTTTGCCCCCTTAACGCCATCCCATAATACCACCCTCATAATTAAGGTCTGCATAATTAATTAGGGAACCCTAATTCCTCACCCGAACCCCCTCATGGACCCCCACCATGTCCCCCTTTCACCCTTCTGGTGACCCCCCCCCTCCACGTGTCCTTTGCCCCCTTAACGCCATCCCATAATACCACACTCATAATTAAGGTCTGCATAATTAATTAGGGAACCCTAATTCCTCACCCAATCCCCCTCATGGACCCCCACCATGTCCCCCAGTCACCCTTCTGGTGACCCCCTCCATGTGTCCCTTGCCCCCTTAACGCCATCCCATAATACCACACTCATAATTAAGGTATGCATAATTAATTAGGGAACCCTAATTCCTCACCCAATCCCCCTCATGGACCCCCGCCATGTCCCCCCGTCACCCTTCTGGTGACGCCCTCCATGTGTCCCTTACACCCCATAATAACACCCTCATAATTAAGGTCTGCATAATTAAATAGAGGACCCCGCCACCCCCGTAATTAGCATCCCCATAATTAATTAGGGGACCCTAATTCCTCAACCAAACTCCCTCCGCAAAATTTCCCACCCATCCTCCAGGAACCCCCAAAATTTCCACGAACCTCCAAAATTTCCTGCCCATCCTCCATGAAACCCCAAAATTTCCAACAAAACCCCAAAATTTCCCACTGATCCTTCACAAAACCCCAAAATTTCCCACCCATCCTCCAGGAACCCCCAAAATTTCCACGAACCTCCAAAATTTCCCGCCCATCATCCATGAAACCCCAAAATTTCCCATGAAACCCCAAAATTTCCCACTGATCCTTCACAAAACCCCAAAATTTCCCACCCATCCTCCATTAAACCCCAAAATTTCCAACAAAAACCCAAAATTTCCCACCGAACCTCCACCAAACCCCAAAATTTCCCACCGAACCTCCACCAAACCCCAAAATTTCCCACCAAACCCCAAAATTTCCCACCGAACCTCCACCAAACCCCAAAATTTCCAACCAAACCCCAAAATTTCCCACCGAACCTCCACCAAACCCCAAAATTTCCAACCAAACCCCAAAATTTCCCAACGAACCTCCACCAAACCCCAAAATTTCCAACCAAACCCCAAAATTTCCCAACAAACCTCCACCAAACCCCAAAATTTCCAACAAAACCCCAAATTTTCCCACCCATCCTCCAGGAACCTCCAAAATTTCCCACCAATCCCCAAAATTTCCCAACGAACCTCCACCAAACCCCAAAATTTCCAACCAAACCCCAAAATTTCCCACCGATCCTCCACCAAACCCCAAAATTTCCAACAAAACCCCAAAATTTCCCACTGAACCTCCACCAAACCCCAAAATTTCCAACAAAACCCCAAAATTTCCCAACGAACCTCCCCCAAACCCCAAAATTTCCCATCAAACCCCAAAATTTCCCACCGAACCTCCACCAAACCCCAAAATTTCCCACTCATCCTCCACCAAACCCCAAAATTTCCCACCAAACCCCAAAATTTCCCACCGAACCTCCACCATACCCCAAAATTTCCAACAAAACCCCAAAATTTCCCAACGATCCTCCACCAAACCCCAAAATTTCCCACCGAACCTCCACCAAACCCCAAAATTTCCAACAAAACCCCAAAATTTCCCAACGAACCTCCACCAAACCCCAAAATT